CTCATTGTCTTATAGAGCATTGAATAAGCTTTCCAACGCTTCTGACTGCGCGTAAAACGGAGTTACGGTTTAAAAGTTATGGTCAAAATAAGTGCTGGTTTGCTGTCATGTTCGCAATGAAAACAAAAGTTCGCAGTGCGAACAGAAAGTTCTAAAACGCGTGAAAAATATTGTTTTGGCAGTAGCGAAAGATGCATAAGTTTGTTGTACGAACGGGACTTTGCTAGGCGAACATGTAAACTCATTTTGCCTATTTAAGTCATTTTTTCAGCATTTTTTAGGTGATGTTGTTGGAGAACTTTTTACCCCGACTTCATCAAACACATTTTTGAGTAGATTTAGCTTAGAAACAACATTGGAGGGTGCATCTTGACGATTCAGAGTCGAATCCACTTCAATCGGAGTTGACAGACTGTCAGATTTGTGTTTTCTTCCTTCCTCTCTATGTATTTTTCATTTGTTGGGGGTTTTGTATGTAAGTTTATTTTGATTATATGTATATTTATGAATCTTTATATAAAATCTCTTTTACAACTCTTTATCGATGGTTATCTTAATTTTTTACTTAATGGGTTTGGATTGCTATAGACATATACGGTTCGAACTCGATTTAAGATAAACATTTGTTAGATTCTAAACTCTAGATATAGGTTTAGGACTAATATTCACGTGGGTATCGATTCTTAATGCTCCATGTTGTCGAGTTGCGTGAGACATCACCAATGAGACGATATGGTTGATCTCTCGACTCTGCGTTAGACATAACCTCTGTTGTGAGCGATACATGATGATATTGATGAGCGATTTAGGTTGCGTGCATTTGATCCATATATTTTTTAGTACATGATAGGTGGAACGAAATACAACTCCTGACGAGTTTTCTCATTTCTTAAGAATGTATTTATTTTCTTGTTTTATGTTTTTCCTTTTGCATTTTTATCCCAAACTATTTAAATCCAAGCTTAGAGACGTAGAGATTGTTGAACGACATTCTTTCCCTCGTACCGATCCCTGTGGAGACGACATAAATCCAGGAGGAAATTCTTCCGAAAATAATATTTTTGCTTGCCGCTTTACCGCTCCAACAAAATGGCGCCACTGTCGGGGATTGGTTTTGATATTGAGTCGCATTTCGATAGTTTCTATATTTTTAAGCTTTGCATATAATTGTATATATGCTTGTATAAATACTTGTTTTGCTTTTATCTTCCATTATGTTTGTTCAAGTGTTGTATATATTTTATTTCCGTAAAGTTTGTTCAAGTGTTTGGTTATGACACGTTCTTTAGGTTGGCACTTTGATAAAGCATCGGCGTGTATGTGAGAAAGTTACTAGCAAAGAACAATAAAGGCGTCGAGCTTACGACGTGAAACAAGTGCTTGTTGGGAGGCAACCCAACGATTTTTGAGTTTGTATAGCTTTATATTTATTTAGTTTGATTGAATTTTTTTGTTAGGTTGTTAGAATAATGTTTGTGTTTGCTCTCAAGTTTGTTTTCGATTAGCTTGAGCATGCATTTTGTGATTTTCTAAGTTTGATCGTTTTAACTTGCGAATGTATGGTTCTGATATTGTTTGAAGTTGGTACTTTGCAAGGTACTCGTTTATCGCTTTCTATAACATAACATGATTTGGAGACTTTTCATTTATATAATTTTCATGTCATTCATTCTTTTTTGCCATACTTGTTTAGTTTTGAATCACTTTAGAACAAAACTTTTTGTGAGGAGTTTTCCATTGTTTACTATATGCAGGAGACCAACATTCTTGTTTAACTCGGTTTTATTATGTTTAATCTTGTATTTGTGTTGATTTGTATGAGAGCACTAAAATGATCAAGACATTTTGTTCGATTTGGAGCATACCCACTTGACCAAATAGTCAATCTACCTTGTGAGTGAGTGAAAATTTGCTTACCTCCTTTGAGCCTTTGTTAGAATTCATGTTGGTGTTAAGTTCATTTTTGTATGGATTCTAATACTTTTTCTTGAACTATAACCATGACTTATTATTTGAGTTTTTTTACCCTTGCCTAATAAGTTTAGGAGCATTGATGTCACTATGTGTGGTTGTATTCAAGTTGGGGGAGAAGAGGTTGGTTGCTAAGAGGTTGAGAAAAAAAATTTTGAAAAAGAAAGAAAAGAAAAAAATGAAAAAGAAAAATAAAAAAGGAAAAGAATTGAAAAAAAAAGAAGAAAAAAAGAATAATGTTATGCTAATAAGTTGTGTGGAATGGTGTAACAATTTGGAAAAGAGAAAAAGGTGATTGAAATTTGTGAGTCCTTGAGATTGTGAGAAATGATCACTCTCATTTGATTAGGCAAGTTTTTGTTTCTTTTACCTTGAGAAAAACAATTGTTTGTTACCTAAGCCACATTACAACCCTTAAAGCCCTTGTGATTTTTGCTTTTATACTGTTTAATATGAGTTTTTTCTTGATGAATGTATAATTTAACTTGTTGTTGGCTTGATTGTTGGGTGAGATTTAAACTCTTAATATTTTTTTTATTCATCTACCGATGAAGTGTGTGCTATGTGTGATTCATTTTTGAACATTGTATTGTCTTAGAATTTTTGACATGTGTTTTGTATTTAGGAGTTGTTTCATTTTCATGTTATCATTGTAGTTTAGTGGTATGTTTTGCTTTGCATATACATTTTTGTGTTAAACCATACATTTGTTTTTGTTTTTCGAAACTTGTTGAGTCGTGATTGCTTGATTGTTACTTTTGTTTTCTTGAGTTGATCGATTCTTGTTTGAGGACAAACAAGTTTAAGTTGGGGAGAGTTGATAAGTGCTAAATTGTACTGATTTTAAGTGTGAATAATTGACACTTATTGGTTTAATTCGACCAATAAACTTCAACTTTTGTGCATATGTTGTATACTTTACATTATAGTGTATATATTGTGTATCACGTAAATATCATTGAGTTTAATTGTTTTTCTCTCATTTTTGTAGGTATACAAGCAATGATATTTTCTCATTGTCTTATAAAGCATTGAATAAGCTTTCCAACGCTTCCTACCGTGCGTAAAACGAAGTTACAGTTTAAAAGTTATGGTCAAAACAAGTGTTGGTTTGCTGTCATGTCCGCAATGCGAATAGAAAGTTCTAAAACGCGTGAAAAACACTGTTTTGACAGTAGCGAAAGATGCATAAGTTTGCTGTGCGAACGGGACTTCGCTAGGCGAACACATAAACCCATTTTGCCTATTTAAATCATTTTTTCAGCATTTTTTAGGTGATGTTGTTGGAGAACTTTTTACCCCAACTTCATCAAACACATTCTTGAGTAGATTTAACTTAGAAACAACATTGGAGGGTGCATCTTGACGATCCGGAGTCGAATCCACTTCAATCGAAGTTAACAGACTGTCAGATTTGTGTTCTTCTTTCTTCCTCTCTATGTATTTTTCGTTTGTTGGGGTTTTCTATGTAAGTTTATCTTGATTGTATGTATATTTATGAATCTTTGTATAAAATCTCTTTTACAACTCTTTATCGATGGTTATCTTGGTTTTTTACTTAATGAGTTTGGATTGCTATAGACATATACGGTTCGAACTCGATCTAAGATAAACATCTGTTAGATTCTAAACTCTAGACATAGGTTTAGGACTAATATTCATGTGGGTATCGATTCTTAATGCTTCGTGTTGTCGAGTTGTGTGAGACATCACCGATGAGACGATACGGTTGATCTCTCGACTTTGCGTTAGACATAACCTCTGTTGTGAGCGATACGTGATGATATTGACGAGCGATTTAGGTTGCGTGCATTTGATCCATATATTTTTTAGTACATGATGGGTGGAACGAAATACAACTCCTGACGAGTTTTCTCATTTCTTAAGAATGTATTTATTTTCTTGTTTTATGTTTTTCCTTTTGCATTTTTATCTCAAACTATTTAAATCCAAGCTTAGAGACGTAGAGATTGTTGAACGACATTCTTTCCCTTGTACCGATTCTTGTGGAGACGACATAAATTTCAGAAGAAATTCTTTCAAAAATAATATTTTTGCTTACCGCTTTACTGCTTCAACAGTTATGCGATTTAAAGTTGGGTTGCTTTGAAGCGGTTTGTGGTTGGTGTCTTCTTTTTAAGAGTCATGAATATTTTCCTTTTTTTTTTTTTATGAAAGAGATTCATGTGAGAGGGAGTATATGCGATACGAGGGAATCCGAATTTTTCTCTTTCAAACAGATGCTATCACTTATTTTGTGTATAAAGGTCACCCATTTCCTTTTTTTTAAACACTAAAACTCTCTTTTCCATAAAAAATAAACTTGTGCCAATTCATGAAACAAAACCAACAACCCATTGGTGCATGCATGTGAAATGTCGGCAACATAAAAAAAAACAAGTGTGATACTGAGTTTTATAATTAACAAACAATGACAATAATGTTCTTTTGATTTTTTTAGTGCTATAATGAATTTAAACAAATTAAAACACACAAAATTAAATATGTCAAACTAATCAGAATAAAATTAAAGTGAAATTATAACTAAATCTATTTAATTATTTTGAACATTACGATGAAAAAATAAAAATAAAATGACTCGAAATAAATAAAAATTAGGTGCAAAAATGTCCGAAAAATAAAATGATTCAAATATAACACTACTTTTAAGATACAGTAAAGTAAGGGTATTAATGTCTTTTTCTCAACTCACAAGGACTCCCATTTTTCAGTTTTCACCTATTGGGCTGAAGACATTTTTTTGTGTGGCCCATGTATAACTTTCTTTCCATTACTTGTTAGAATGCAACCAAAGGAAGGAAAACCCTATATATTCTATAACCTTTCTTTCCACCTTTCATGAAACCAAACACATTCCTAGAGTTGTTTGAACGCTATAGTTAAACTTCATATAAAACGGTTTCGTTTTATTCACAAAGAGTGCGGCGCGCTTAAACCTATCTCGAAAGTTAGAGAATTTGCATTTCATCGCGAGAAGAGAAAAAGAGAAAGAAATTCAAAACTTCTCAATGTCGAGATCGTTGGTTCAACCAGTAGGTCAAAAGCGATTAACAAACGTAGCAGTTGTTCGTCTCAAAAAACACGGCATGCGATTCGAAATCGCTTGTTACCCTAACACCGTCCTTTCATGGCGTTCCGGCGTGTATGTATTCAATCACTTTTTTTTCTTCTTTGTTTTTTAACCTAATTAATCGATTATTGTGTAATTAATGGATTAATCGATTATTTAACAGTGAAAAGGATATTGATGAAGTGTTGCAGTCTCATACTGTTTATACGAATGTTTCTAAAGGTGTTCTTGCTAAGTCTAAGGATTTAAACGCTGCTTTTGGTACTGATGATCACTCCAATATATGCTTAGAGGTTATTTTTCTTCTACTTAATCAATTCAACAGTTTGTTATTTTATAGGTTTGTATTTACTTTTTTAATAAGCTTATGAAATGAATTTTTTAACCTAAATCATGCAAATTATTGTTATGATTTTAGTTTACTCCAAGTTTAAATTAGTTTTAGTTTACTGCTTAAGTGCTTTGACTGTGTAAGGGCTGGTTTATGAGTAGCTTAGTAGGATTTAGGGTCTGTTTAGATAAACAGCTTATTTGCAGCTCATATCACAAGTGCTTAGCAAAATAAGTGCTTATGAATGAGCTTGTGTAAGTTGGTTTTATAGCAAAAGATAAAATACATTTAAATTGTTTTTATATATGTTATAAGTTGTTTTCACTAGATATCTTGAAGAATAAATATGTACAAAATTTCATAAGCTGTTTTTGTATAGTTTCCCGGACAGTGTCACAAAACTCATGGCAGTAGATAAATTCAAATAAGTCAATCCAAACAGGTCCTTATTAGAGTTTATCTTATGACATAAGCACTTGTCAGAGTGTGTGAACTTTGAAAGAGATTGTATAAATTGTTTATGATATTTCCCTAAGCTTGTCCTGGTAGCTTATGAAAACAATTTACAACTTACATGAAAATTGCTTAGCTAAAATTCCAATTTGTTTATAGAAATATTTTATACATAAGTGCTTATTCAGTAAATATATAACTAATTTGTTTATCCAACTACATGTCAGTGAGTGTTTTTTGGCAGAACGTATTTACAAGTTTTTTCTGGTTCGAGAGTGATATTCAACTTCTCTCACTTAACTACTCCATAAGCACTTTAAGAACTCTAAATTGTGTTTCGGTTAGCTTATGAGTAGCTTATTTGTTTAAGCATAGTCATACTGTTTGAGAGATTTATTACAATAGCCTATGATAATGTTTGTACGTTTTTTTCAACTTTCTAATAAACTATTTAGAAAAACTTATGAAAACTGCATGCAACTTATATGAAAATTGTTCAATCATATTTTCTCTTTGATTATATTGATAGTTTATACATAAGTGTATATATATCGAACATTTGGAATGAACAGTGCAGAAAACAAAAGTTAACAGCGCCGCATAATGAAGGTAGAAAAACAAAAGAGACTGCAAAGACAACTGTTAGGGTTTATGTGTGAGCAAGACTCTTTTATCATGTAGAATTGGAGAAAAATTTAAATATGATTTTAAAAGTAATTTTAGTACAATCACTAAACTGTTTAAATAGACTATGCTATGCCTAGTGAGCTTTATTGAAGAACCGGATGTAATCTATAGAAATAATTACACAATATAAAAATATATTTACAACATCAGTTTTGTAAGTATAGATTTATGACATCCATAATTCCATAAGTTGTTTTCAGAAAGTTTTTCACTCTAGCTTTTGTAAATAACTTGGAACTTGTATGCAAACAAGTTAAACCACATTCTCTATATGATCATAAGAATAAGAATAGATCTATTGTTATTGAAGAAAAATATATTCTCTTATAAAAACTTACGATTTGTAAAAGAAAAATTGTTATTGAAGAATCATAAATCTATTCTAATTTGTAAGTTAGTTGAAGTTAGAAAGCTGGGCTATTGTTTATGGCATAAAAATGGACATGTATAATAACTAATGATTTAACTGTTAGTTGAGACCGTGTGTGTGAATGTGTTACAAAATGGTTTGCTGTTGCAGATTTTAAAGAAGGGGGAACTTCAGGTTGCTGGCAAAGAGAGGGAATCAATGCTGTCTAGTCAGTTCAGGGACATTGCCACCATTGTAATGCACAAAACTTTTAATCCTGAGACTAAGCGCCCTTACACTATCAGCATGATTGAACGCCTCATGAAGGATATTCATTTTGCAGTTGATCCAAACAGCACCTCCAAGAAGCAGGTCTGTTGTCAAGTCATTCTTATAATTGTATATAATGCTAGCCTCATGTAACTGTTATAACGATTTGATGATAATTCAAGTAATGAAAATTGTATTACAGGCTCTGGAGTTGATTCAGGAGCTTCAGAAGCACTACCCTATAAGACGGTGTCCATTGAGGATACGCGCAGCCGCCCCTGAGGAGGAAGTCCCTGTCCTTTTAGAAAAGTTGAGCGAGTGGAAGGCAACTGTTATTTCTAAAGAAGGGACTGCTGCTCAGTTATCTGTTGTAAGTTCTTTGAACATTAGTGATAATTCCAGGATTAGGTGGTTATTTAGCAACTTACTGTTACCGCATTTTATCTGGTTATTGTATGAAAGTTTGAAAAACTGCTCATCTGTAAAATTAAAACTTGAAGTAACATGACCAAATATTCATTTGCTGCTGTTAGCTGATCATGTCTGATGTTAGACATGGATTTTCTGTAAAGAAAAGTACCAACTAACCTGCGCAGCATTCAGATTCCTTTATTAATTTCCTTTCTGGTTTCACCTCTTGCCATAAAAAGTGAGATTCTATCCCCACACCCGTCCCCCCAACAGTCACTTTGGAAGTATACTTCTGGAAAAAAACACTGATTTTTGCCCTCTAGAAGCTCCTTGTAAATATTATTATTGTTTTACAGTCAACAGTTGTAAGTATAATCCTCTCCAACAGCTGTCTGGTATGTCTGCATACATGTATACGGATAATCTGGATTCTGCTAACATGTTAAGAAAATTGATATGATTTCTAATTGGGTTGCAGGTTTTTGAATTAGAACCTGGTCTATATAAGGATTGCCATGACTTTGTTATGAATAAGATGCATGGAAGATTTGAAGTTCTTGCCCACTCTCTTTACGTGGACAGGGATACCCATGTGGATCAATACAATGATCATGAAGACATGCCTGCACCACTGCCCACAAACACTCCTGAATCTGTGCTTGAGCTGACTGATAAACTTAAGAAGCAAACAATTTCGAGTGAAACTAAGCCTACTGAGATACAACAGCCAAAGCAAAACAAATGCAACACATGTAATGCTTCTTTTGAAGATGCTAAGTTGTACAGGGAACACCACAAGAGTGAGTGGCACAAGCACAATATGAAGCGTAAAACGAGGCAACTCCCTCCACTCACTGAAGAAGAGTGCACAGCAGATATGGATTTGTTTGAATCAAAATCTGATTTAAAGGATTATTCATTTTGAGTTGTACATGACAAACACCGTTTATTAAGTTGTACCGTTTATATGTATAATTGCTTTTGTTTGAAATCTTTTATCGGTTGACAAAATGACAAGTGCAGTTATAAGTTTACACATTAAAAGTGTGGAAGATCCTGGGTTTGAACCTGGTGCCACACAAAAAAAAAAAAATCAATATAACAATGTTTGCATTGGTGATTGAGTTAGATAGTATCTTATAATGACTGAATTAATATTTATTCAGTTAATGTATGTTTGTTTGGGTTTTAGAGTGAATTCAACATATTACTCTGGATTTTCTGAAATTGAATTGGTTGTCCTTGGAACACAATTTTAATCAATTCACTTCTAAAACAACTTTAACCAAATTGATCTATGAAATGAATATAATTCAAAATCACATTTAACATGAGTCAGTGAGATGGTGAATCTTATCACTTTCTATTTTCTTTTCATAATTTTATTATTGGATGAATTCGTCTTGACACATGATTTGAATTTTGGATAACAATTTCCCTTTTCTTTAAAAAGAACATAAATGATAGCTCACACATTCTTGAAAGAAAATTTAAAATTATACATCCAAGTTAAAGACGACAATAGATTCCTTTGTTCACTCAATAGTCATGAATGATCCTTTGTGTATCAGGAACAATCTCCTATTCTTAAGCTTCTTAAGAGATCCAAATGCCCATAATTTCCAGGAGTCATGTATCTGCAATATCACAGCATATAATCATTAAAGTTTCACTTTGCACTCCATAATCAACAAAACAAATGCAAAAGAAATTCACTTATGTTACTTTGTATTAAAAAATATTGCAATATAGATTGCAAAGTAAGGGGAAAAGTATATGAAATGAGTAATGAGTTCAAAAAGAAAGGAATACCCATGTTGAATCAGGAAGTCAATCACTGCGACAATGCAAGTAGGTCCGAAAAATTGTGTCTTGTGGACAATTTATTCAACCTGCATAACATGGATTAACTTGAAGCTTTCAATTTTCAACTTCTCCGTCTCTTGTTGGGATTGGTTGAATCGTGAGTTAATGAACATATTGCAACACAATTAAACTGCCACTAAATCTGAAATATAATGCCAATACTTCTCCTAATTCAGCTCAGCTAGCATTCTCGATCCCATCAATTCTTTGAGATCTTCAAATCTTGATTTCTTTAATAGCTTGATTAAAATACCTGTAAGTAGTTACTCGGTCTTACAATATTTAATTTTTAATATATTCTAGCTAACTTCGTCTCTTAGAAAATGATATTTTTCTTCCATGATTCATTGGATGATTAGCCAAATTAATTATTGATTTATTTTCAACTAGCAATTTGATATTCACAACTTCACTAAACTCCAACTCTTTCAACATGTCCACCTACCATGCTTGGCAAGTTGCATAAAAGGCTGCAACACAGTTTGCCTCACACGAGTCGTTATTCCTTATTTATTTGAGTTATATGAAATCCTTAGAAGTAAAAATAGCGAAAATGGTTTGAATACTAATCATTTTTGTGACAGGTGAAAATGTCTCATCATAACTCACACCATACTCCTGTTTATTATCCAACGCAACCAATCAAGCTTTGTGACGAATAAGAATACCATATGAATTCAGATTTACCGAACACACCCATATACTCTCAATAGACTTAACACTTACACGTCGACGAACAATGTAGCTCATCATTCATTGTCCATGAAGCATATACATACTGTAAGTGTTCAGGGATCCAGTTATATGATTAAAAGCCTCTGAATCCACAAACTAAGGTGTATAAGCACTAATAGATTTGCCTTAAATGCCTAAAGCTTATAAAGAATAGAGAACAATATGTTTCACCTTCTTTGAAGTCAACACATCAGATGCATTAACAATGATAAGAGCATACAAACCAACAACATAGGTGGTAGCATGAAAGATTTGGGTACGGCAGTCATGCAGGTCTTGTGGGCTACTCAGTAATAATGTGGCCACATTTGCAATAGTTGAAAATTTTCTTACTGCACATGCAAACACACTCCTTTTCAGTTGGAGCCTTCTAAGTTCCATTGAGAGGACAGAACACTCCTTTTTCTTTCACATATATTTCAAATTGACAAATCAAACACAAAATTCTCCCTTTCCTTTTCCAAATCCATGAAACCAAACAAATAGCAAGAAACAACAAAAAAAGCATTGTCGTTGAAGAAAACAAATAATCAATGAAGAAGACAATGTTTGATCGAGAACTTGCAGATACCATGTTAGGATTTCTATTATTGTTACTTTTCATTGATTTGCTCCTCTCCACATTATAGTAAATAAGCCATTAATGATACAAACATTCTAATTTCTATATAGAGACAACCTAACATAATATCGATGCAAGTTGCTGGTCTGCTAAATATTCTAATTTCTATAACTGGAGGATTTCTTATTAACAAGATAGAACCTTTATCAAATCAATATCACAACTGCATCACCATTGATGCCACCTCAAGAGAGCTGTATACAATAATATCGATGCAGGTTGCTGGTCTGCTAAATAAATGCAACGAAATGACGAATACTCTGCAGATTGCTTCAAATCAAAGTGTTCATATCAAACCGCAGAAAATTGACTTCTTGAAATCTCAGTTTTGCATGGAATAATTGTTTTGACATAAATAAGTAATGTTCCAATGAGATCACATGTAACCAATTCTTGAAAAATACAAAAAGAATAACAACCAAGATGCTCAACACATGAATGCTTGGTTCAATGAATAGTATGATGCTCTTTGTATCAGGACCAATCTCCTATTCTTAAGCTTCTTAAGAGATCCAAATATCCATCATTTTCAAGACTTATGTATCTGCAATGTTTATTACAACATATATTCCGTTAGAACATCAATCAATAACAAAAGAGTAAATAGAAACGTAAATCACAAACAACGATCTTTGTTTACGCAGTTCGGCCAAGTATGGCTACATCTGCGACTACAGAGCAGTTGTGGTTCTGTATTATTATATGAATGAATTAGAGTTCTGTGTTACAAGTGATATAGAAAAACAAATGCAAAAGAAAATCACTAGTGTTACTTCGTATGATGTACTATTGCAATATATGCTTTCTAATACAAATTCACAAAATCTTGAAATTCAAATTTCATTATGAACACTGTCAAAAGAATACAAGATGAAACTATAAAAACACAATAGCACCAAAATTGTCAATCGCAGAAAAAATGGTTTGTTAAAATTATGCTATGCAATAAAGCTATAACACTACCATTTAACAACAGAGTGACAAATTGCTCAAACAAAGAAATACCCGTGTCGAAACAGGAAGTCAATGATCACGATAGCGCAATTTGGTTTGAAAAACTGTGTCTTGCGGATGACTTCTGCAACTTGCTCAACCGGGATTAACTTGAAGCTTTCAACTTCTCCATCTGATATTTTATTAAGCCAAAGTGTGATCAAGATACCACTTGAAAAGAGAGTAAAATTGGAGAATGAGTTTAAAAGGCACACCTATGTTTTTTGGTACGAAATTTTCGGGAAGTATCAAATCATAGCAGAATAGAACATCTCTTTTGTATCTATATCCTTCGATGTCCTTGTACGAAACGACACTAACTGATTTGGCTCTGCAAGAACAGAGATGAAGAAATATTTAACTGGATTTTTCATTTCAGCAAGTGGTTTGAAAATAATGGTATATTGAATGAACCAATAGATTAGTTGACCATAGACACAAAAAGAAGTTCAGTTAGCTTCTATGAAGTATTGACACAAACATGGACACCAACATGTCGCACTAGTAATAAAAGTACTTGAATGTAATCATATAAGTCAGTGCCATGTCAAACATCGGACACACTTTTAATTTGAAGTGTCAATGTTGCGTAGGTTGGCTAACCATTCCAGAAGAAAAATTGAAATTTGCGCGGTAAAGGAGGAGAAGGATGAAGAAGGTGTTGTGGTTGCAAACTTACTTAATAGAGATGGACCTGGGAATTCCGGCTTCCTCTTCACATTCCTTTACAACATTTTCCAGACAACCTATTCCATGCGGCTGTGACAGGAGCAATTAACTCAGAAACTCAAGATGATAGTACATATTAACGTAAAGAAAACACTTGGCCTGTTTCGATTGACTTATTTGAACTTATCTACTACTGACATCAACACTTGTGAGAATTTTTGTAATTTCTTATGGAAACAATTTTTTACATGTCCGTAAGTTGTTCTCAGCTTATTTTCATAAGCTCTCCGTGATTGTTTAATGAAAACAGATTCTATGAAAATAGTTTGACTTCAATTACCTTTTACTATAGAAATAGTTCATACATAAACACTTATATGATAAATGTGTATGCTATGAACGTTTAGTTAAGTTGTTCATCCAAACACGGCATAGTGAACTGTTTCAATTCACAAAGTCTTTGGAAGAAATGTTTAACATGTCAAGGCTCAAGTTTGAAATATTAGTTAGTTTATTATGCAAACAGATAAAACAAAACTACAAACCAATCCTCCTGCAACTAAATGATCGAGCATTCCAGGATATGTGGATTTCGTGGGACTTCTCTTCCCTATCCATAGATGTTTCCGCCCATCCAGCTCAACATAGCCATTCATATGGATTCCATAAACCTAATATTGTAAATTAAGAAAAAAGTTTAAAGATGACATATAGGAACAAATGGCGTGATCGTCTTCAAAATAATTCCAACAATAAGATTCAGAGAGACAACATTCAATTCCATAAAATATAGGTAAGTTTGTGAGATGTTGGATCAAACTCTAGTGTTGTCGAAGTCTGTTCACAAGTAATGCGTCTTGTAGTCGAAGTTTGTTCTAACATGTATTAGTAAATATTGCTAGGGTTGTTAGCATGTTGAATTGGGTCTTGCTTGTAAGCCCAATTGTTTAAGTTAGTTTGTACCCTAAGTTAGCTTGTAATGGGTAATTGTTAAAAAGCCCATTAGGTTAGTGTGCTATTTTATTATAAATAGGATGCTAGTTTCTCAATCTTGGGATAAGGAAAAATAGGAAGATAAAATCTTAATTTAAAGGGAGAGAGGTTATTTTGTTATTCTTGTATACTTGTAATCTTGTTCTAAGAGAAAGGAAAGAATAGCAGTTTAATAACCAATTCTTGTTGTTCCTTTGTTGTTTTACCTTGTCTTCTTTATTAACCCCAACCCTTGTGTGTTTCTTGATAAGAAAGAAACCGTTTATACTTTGTTTAAAGGTATCCGATTCACAACAAAGTTAAATTATCATTTTTAATATGACAACGAATTAGCACTTGACTTCTGTACCTTTATGCCAAAATAAGGAGCCGCAGCACGTTCTAACGAAAAGAAAGCAGACGCACTAAACGAAGATTTCACAGGGAATAGCTGGTAAAAGATAGACAAAAAATGTAGGTAAGGTAGTTAAGTAATACAAAAACATCCAATAGCAAAGAATGATGAAATCTAACATATTCTAAACCTATAAAAAGACTAATACCTCGTTTCGTATACCTGGAATGTGCTCCTCGCCCAAATGCTTAATTACATAACCAACTGCGCTGGTTCTTTCCTCAGCCGACTTTAGTAATGGATGCAATGTAACATAATAACCAAAGGGGCCTCCACCGTTGGGAAAATCGAACACGTCGTTGAAGCCTCGCAAATGTTCAACAAACCTTAACAAATCAAAGTTTAACCAAAGAAACATTCATGAATAACCAAACATAAGATCACACAAGCAACAAACATGAAAAATAGAGAAATGGAGTAAAATTTACCGATTGTGAATGAATCCAACATCACGGCCCTCAACGATAAACGGAACGAATTCAGATTGTTTGTCCTACAATCAATTCCAAACTCAACACGGTTTATGAGTAAACTCTAGTTTGTTGGGATCACTGATCACTTCCCAGTAAATTACAATAAACAGAAAACACAAAAAGTGGATCCTATTCCTACACTTCAAAATCAGCTAAACCCAAATTTCATATATTATGGTGTACTAATTATAAAGATGAAAACTTTATTGAAAAAAAAAAGTGGGGTGATGCAAAAATGCACAATTGGGTGGTTAAAATACAATTCTCAGTCAAAAGAAAAAAAGGTACAATCTAAGAAAACCAAACAAACCAAAAGAGAGGTTATAAAGTAAGAACTCACAGAACCACGATTGCAGAGTTGGACTTTGTGGAAGTAACCTTGGAGATAAGAAGAAGGGTCGTCGTCTTCTATGTCAGTTTCAGATTCAGAAATGCGAAAAACATCGTCCCACGTGAGTTTGCACGTGCCAGCAGCGGCTGAAACAGAAAAAGAAGGGAAGGAGTGGTTGATGGAAGATGAAGAAAAAGGGAGAGAGGTGATGAAGGATGATAATGGAGAAGAGAAGGGTTTGTAGCAGCAGAAGGTAGGAGCAAACATGTATGTCACTCCTGTCATATTGCGAGCACAAACAGTGTTTCTGATCATATTTCTACACTTTGAGTAAATTTTTTTCTTCATATATCTGGATTTCTTAATTAAAGATAAGGGAAATTCTTTTTTAATATAACATGTTTATCAAATAAATTATTAAAAAAAAAAAAATTTTAAATTTTTTTTAAAATAACTATGTTTTGAAGAGGCCATATGAAATGGCTGATCAAAGTCTCTCAGACTTGATTCGCCATTTCGTAGGGTCATAGCTTAAAATTTCCATGCCTTATCCTACACTGAGTCGTCATACCATATGGCGCCTCAGTTGTAGAGTTTTTTATTTTTATTTTTTTTAATATTTAATTTTTGTTTAAAAAAACATATAATATTTATTTTTTAATATTTTGTAAGAAATAATAAATTTTGTAAGGATATTTACGGCATATCATATGTGGTCTGTACTATTTCATTTTTCTATAAATAAGACTGCACACTCGTATATTTTTTTCACATAATTTTCACGAATAGGCTCAAGTCTTCATAATTTTGAAATCAGTCTAGAATGTCTGCATTTCTAAATCAACGTTTATCGTCATCATCATCGGAGGAACTGTTTCCAACATTTCCTCTAATGAAAAGAAATGCCCTAGTTTATTTTTCAGCAACAAAGCCTCTGATGAAGGTGCTACTGTGGAACACGCAGACTTTGGAGCATTTGCATAGGGAACTGAACCGCTGGCTAGAAGGAGATATTGTTGCAGGTGAAAAGATTAGGAAAATTGAGAGGTTGGTTGAGGAGTCAGGGAGAAACGGAGTTACTCGTGATTGAAGAAAAGTGGAAAATGATGTTGGTGTCCTTGTGATGATGTTAACACCAAAGAAGATTACCTTGATGGTTGTGATATCCTAGACAAGTTGATGCATTGTGTTGTTTTATGTGGGTTTGTTGTTGTTATTTTCGGATTGTTATTTTGATATTAGGTTATGTTGTTGTTATTTTTGAAATGTTGTTGTAATATTAAGTTATGTTTGTTTAATTTATGTTACTTGTTAATTGTAATCGCTTAGCTATGCTTTCAATGGAATAAAATTTATTGTTGATTTAAAGGGACACAGTTACATTAGAAACTATGATCCTGTGTTTGATCCTACATTGGGACATTTTGTACGATTGTGTCCTGGTTGCCGACACGAACTACATAATCTGACCATTTTGTTTGCTGCATCTATCTCTGTTCAAATATGTGTGACATTAGGGCAACCCTTTTTCTTTCTTTGCATCAAATCATTATGCCAGACAATTTTGCCTTCGTATGGAGGTCAATAGTCCTCCTTTGTCACCACTTGAAAGCTACATGTGTAGACATTGCATAGACTTATCACTTGGTGAACAACAGAAAGATAGTTGGTTGGGTCCTAGCTCCCCTTCGGACATGCTGCTATAACATCGGAGCAAGGCATACGAAATGCCTGAAACTTTCCACAGTCACACCAACTCCTATCTAGTTCCACTCGGTAACATCCTCTAGGCTTTACTTCATTGTGATCAATTGACTCGGCAACACTAAACCAACATTTATTACGGTCAAAGATTGTAACCACATGTGTGTTGGCTTTGGCAACTTCGTCTTTCATGAATTTTGTTGAACTATTACTGTACAGCTAACCAGATTGTAATACTGAACCCCGCTTTATACGTCTGTTATCAAAGAGTGCCCCGAGCCTAAAATATGTTGCCTTTACCAAGGCAGTTATCGGTGGGTCTCAGATTCCCTTGAAAACAGAATTCATTGATTCAACGAGGTTAGTTGTCATGCGGCCACATCGCACCCCATTGTTGTATGTGTAACAACCCAATTTTTCCATAATTGATTAATTGTAGTAATTAATTGGTTTATGTGATTTATCTGATTTAAATGGATTATTGGATTTATTTAATTCATATGTGTTAATGGATTTAACTGATTTATCCTATTTGGAAGAATAATGTGAATTTAATAGATATTCTCTATGTTAATGATAAGATGAGATATTTTGGTGAGAAAAGGAATGGATAGATATTTTGAGAGAAGAATTATGGTGGAAAGAAAATAGAAGGATATAAAAGGAAAATAGAGAGAAAAAAAAAGAGATAGAAAGAAAAGAAGGAAAAGGAGAGAAAGAAAGAGGAGGAGGAGAAAAGAGGAAGAAGAAGGGAAAAGCTTGGAAATCATCAAGAACGACTTATAGCTTCCGATTAATCAAGGTAAGGGTGTGAAATATTGTTATCTTACTAATGTATGTGATTATGTATGGATTTTTTGGTTGTTTTTCCTCATTTTCCATTCTAGGGCAAAGATGTTTAATCAGTAGAAATCAAGTTTAATCGGTTATAACTGAAATAAATGATGTAGAATAATCAAGGGATGTTAGACTAAGGTTACGGAACTTGTTCGGTGAGAATCGGTCGGTTTTAGAGAGTTTGGTGGAAGTTGGACAGTGAAGGTTTGAAGTTCGCAGACATTCGCTAGCGTGTTCGCTGAGCGAGCTGGTAGCGAACGTTCGCTAAGCGAGCTAGTAGCGAGCCAATAGCGAACGGTCCCAGACTTGGGCAGAATTCATTTTGTGGTGTTCGCTGGTAGCGAAGGTTCGCTAGGCCTTCGCTGAGCAAGCAAGGTAGCGAACGAAGTCAGTAGCTTCTGTTTGCCTTCACGAGCTTGTTCGCTGGGCGAACAAGTAGCGAATACTCGCTAGGGGCTCGCTGTCGCTACTGCGAAAATCGGCGCCGGCTTGACAGGAGAGTCGCCACCGTGCGTTATTTATCCCTCAGAGCGGGAAAGGAAACGCTCGAAGTAAACCTCGCAAAGACGGGAAAAGGTATGGTCATCGCAACCATAGCCTGGATTCGGGAGTCGGTTACGCAAGGGGAAGGTATTAGCACCCCTCACGTCCATCGTACTCGATGGGATCCACGCTTGGTGTTTATAGGTAAAAGGGTGTGTTATCTATCTACGCTAATGGCTGGTCTGAAAAGAAAATAAAAGGACAGGACTCGACAGAACATACGGTGTTCTGGGCCTACGTATTCCCTCGTGCAATGGGAAAGTCAGAGTCAACGTAGTTCGACTGCCTACGTCTAAACGGGGGAAAGGTTGCTCGCCAGGACATCGCGTCCTGTGCCTACGTACTTCCACACAGTATGGAAGATCAGAGCAAACGTAGTTCGACTAACTACGGGTAAACAGGGGCTCTCACGCAGCAGTGAGAAAACAAACTGGTCTCTAAGGCTCGGGAACCTACAACTATGATCTGGTCTCAAATGCACTCGGGCAAGAGAAAGGGATAACAATTAGTCGTTAGCGGGAAAGTCTCGATCGCACAGCCGCAAGAGAACTAAATGTTAGTCGTTAGTGTGCTCGCTAGGATATCGCATCCTATGCCTACATATCTTCGTCTGGAACGAAGAATCAGAGCAGCTGTAGTTCAGCTAACTACGGATCAAGCTACTCAAAAGCTCCTACAGAAAGGAAAGGGGAAACCCTAAAACTATAGCTGGGAAACAGGGAATCTACTTACTGCTATCACACCTGGTTGACCATCCTAATGTCTATCATAACAACTCCGCAGCGGAGAAGTCAGAGCTCCTAAGGGATCATGGCAACAGGATTAAACCACAAACAAGAAACTGCAACGTAAAGGAATACTGAAAATATGCATGAATGCAACAACTAAACAAACAAGGCGCGAAGGCCACAAACCACAGAGGCAAGGGAGCTCAGCTCTACCAAATACCAACAAGCAAAGCCACGCAATAACAAACAAGCAGAAGGAGGACCACCTCAACTTCTCATGCACACAGAGTCTACTTCTAAGATGCACTTATTCAGAACTATCTAGATGAACACCTAAGTCTAATGCAACATAACATCACACAAGTCAAACAACACAAAGAGACTAACCCTGAGCAGGGCCTCTATCTACAAAACAAGAAACTACTCCTGGGCAAGGCCCCTAACAACCTGAGACAACTCTTAATCTATCTCTAAACAGAACTCTATACTGCACCCTAAGCAAAGATCTAAGCGACAATTCTAATCCAAAACCCTAAGCAAGAGGAATCAATCCCAGTCTCCAAGCTTCAGAACAAGCTTACCAGAAAAAGGGAGCTAAGCAGGCGAACTCATAGTATCTTCCTCAGGAAGGTACCAGGAGGTTACTACTCAGGAGTCATATCCTATGCGGCTCGACAACTGTGATCAGTTTACATTCCTCCTCAGGAGAAATTAAACTCACATGAAGGCTCCGGCATCACGGGATACTTGAGAAAAACCTACATGCACTAAGGGAACTAAGTGAGCAGACTCATAAGACCTTCCTCAGGAAAGTACTAGGAGGCTGACACTTAGGAATCGTATCCTACGTGGCTCAACAACTGTGATCAATTTACATTCCTCCTCAGGAGAAATTAAACTCACAAGTTGGCTCCAACATCACTGGATACTTGCGAAATCCTAGATAAACTAATGGAACTAAGTGAATAGACCCATAGGACCTTCCTCAGGAAAGTACTAGGAGGCTGACACTTAGGAATCGTATCCTACGTGGCTCAACAACTGTGATCAGTTTACATTCCTCCTCAGGAGAAACTAAACTCACAAGTCGGCTCCGACATCATTGGATACTTGCGAAAGAGGTGAGAAGAAAGAATGAAAGTCATTCATAGTGCCTTCCTCAGGAAAGTACCATAAATTCCTTTCAAACTTCAGGGTCTCGAACCTCACAAACAGACAACAAGCTCCTAGACTAAGCCTCAAACCAATGCATCTTTGCAAGCTCCAATAGGACCTCCATCAGCTCCCACCTTCAAGAAGAACCAACAGACCAACAAACCACAGGAGACTATCTCTGAAGTTCAACCACAGTTGAACTTCAAAGTCAGAAGTCATCAAGACTTCTCCTATCTTCAGGATCAGACAAATCACATCAGGACACCCTACAAAAATCTATCAAAAATCTAATGGGAGACCTACATGGCTCTAAGATAA